TCTTGTACTTAAACATATTACTTTCAAATTCAAATGTTTCATAAACTGTATGCTTTTATTATCAAAAATTGTATTAACCAATGGTTCGAATTGTAGAGTAAACTTTCAGACTAAATGTAAATTCTTTTATAAAGTGTTATAATCAGTGTTATATTTCTTAATTTATGAATAATTCATACTAATCATCAATCAGGATTAATACGAATACAAATACGAAAGTAAAACTAGGAACAAAGCGAATACGAAACTACAACTAGGAATAGAGCGAATACGAAAGTACATCTAGGAACAGAACGAATACGAAAATACAGCTAGGAACAGAACGAATATGAAAGTATAGCTAGGAACATAACGAATACGAAAATACAACTAGGAACAGAACGAATACGAAAATACAGCTAGTAACAGAACGAATACGAAAGTACAACTAGGAACAGAACAAATACAAAAGTAATAATACGAATACGAATACGAATACGAATGCGAATGCGAATACGAGTACAAATACAAATAGGAATAGGAATAGGATTAGGAATACGAATACGAATACGAATATGAATACGAATACAAATAGGAATAGGAATAAAAATAGGAATAGGAATACGAATACGAATATGAATACAAATACGAATACGAATGCGAATTCGAATACGAATACGAATACAAATATAAATACGAATACAAATATAAATATGAATACGAATATGAATATGAATAAGAATAGGAATACAAATACAAAAGCACGCCTCTAGATACATTCGAGTGTAACATAACTAGGATATCAGAATACCTAACTAATATAACAATTATGATAGAAAATTGTACATTACATTGGGATTAAATAACTAAACTTACTTTTAGGAAAATAAGGGTTTATCCTGGGATAAAAATTGTACATAACCATAATCGTGTAACAAAACAGTTAACTAAACTTTACATATAATAAAATATGGGATTTTCTTGGATAACAAACTTTTTCGGAAAACCAAAGGAAACTTGTACATTTTCAGAAAACAAAACTCTTATGAACTCACCAGCTTTATGCTGATTTTCAAACTGCTTGTATTCTCAGGTTCATATTAGACAGGTACCCGCGATCTTTTGGAGAAGACGGAGCGTACAGAAGACTCGTCTTAACTTTTGTTCATATGATATATGTATAACATTTGTAACACTTTGCTTTCAAACAAATATAATTATTCATATGTAATGTAATATTTTGTGTTTACTATGATTTCTATGTACATTGGTTGCGATATTCATGACGTCCTCCGCCCCGGAACGTTTCCGCCTTCGATTTCGGGGAGTGACACCAGTAATTCATGTGCTATCAACCGGTTTTTTTAAACAAGTATACACACTTATCAATAAATTCATTATAATATAAATCGAATCACTACTACAACAAACAATTTTAACAAATCCATTATCATTTACTTTTGCTCGTTAATAAAACACTAGTCATGCAAACCACTTTTATTCATAACACAAACACTAACAATAAATACTACCATAAATAAAAAATAAAAAAATAACCATATTTAACCAATACTTTAAACTCAAATCTCCACGGTACCCTTTTCATTATCTTGCTTAATTCGTTTATTGCATGTCCTCCAATTATGATTAACATATAAATTCTAGCCTGAGCATTTTTGTGACCCACTTTTCAAAGACGAAGTCGCTTTCTCCTTTTTTGGTACGGCTACCTTTATTTCGTATCTCATTTGGAACATGTATGTTTATATGCTCTAGAATAGTAACTCCAAAATGTTATACCGATCCTTTTTCATTTTGATTTGAACCATCTACAATAAATATTTCTTGATCCAACAGATGCCTCATTGTTCGAGTTGCCTCCACAAACGATAACAATTTCTCCTTATTACGTTTAATTCTCTCCATACAATACTACATGTTAAAATACGCTTCAGTTAGGAGTTTAAATGTCTCGTTCTCTATCATCACATATCCATTTTTGTTTAGAAGAAAATGTGTTGCAATTATATCCCTTATCTATCTTCTCATAACGAACTGATTAGGTATCTCATTAACATGATTATTCTTCGAAAGTGCGCAAACATGCATGCACAAAAGTCCCATCCGATTGAAGTGATCGCACATACATTTTACATCTTTTTCTGACAACTTTAGTTCAACCTACATCAAATTATGTAATCATTATATACTAGGTTACAACCCGTGGAACCTACGGGAGATAAAGTAAAAGAATATTGATATTTTAAAATGAATTAAATAATGTTTTCTCGGTAACTTCAATGGTTAATTCAAATTAATATGTAAAATGGTTTAAAGGTACGAGCAATGTTTTTTTATCTGTAGGTTAATAAAAAAAATGATAATTGTGTATAATGAATATAAAACTGAATAAGACTAAAGAAAAAAAATAAAGAAGAAGCAAACACATCGAATCATGAAAACAACATTGTTATATGCAAATAAAAAATTAAGATAATATAAGAAACTTATATGAACACAATAAAATAAATTACAAATTCAAATGATGAATAAAATGTGTTCTACTAATAATAAAAACAATATTATATAAAAAAAATTCTACAAATTGTTTATGAATATTTAAAAACTTATTTATACACAAAAGTAATCATTAATCATATATTTGCAAATATTAATATTTTTATAAAATTTGATATGTTAACGATAACAAATTAGAATAACTTAGATAATAATAAAAAATGATAGATTTATAAATGCTTCTTTTGATACAATATCTTTATATACAATCTCTATATCAAATGGTTCAAAATTGTAATAAATGTTATTTGAATGATGATTAATAAGAAAATGATGATAGTGTACATAGAAAAATAAATTTTGAAAAAGTCAAAATAAGAACGACAATCATACATGGTACTAAAATGAAATTTTAAATCCGAAAAATGAGGTAAGGTAACAAAACTACATGTATATAAAGACGTGTGTAAATGAACTTTGATTGTTTGATGTTGCAGACATTTTATTAGATTTTATGTTGTTCAAATATAGTTCTTTAAATTTTTTATTGTCTTCAGCACCACCAATATAATAAATATTATTTGAAGTGTAAAAAATAGCAATTTGTGCAATAAAAAAATGCCGATCAACATTCCTAGAGTTGTTATAAGTTTTATTATGATTATATGTTTAATTGTTAATGAATAATTGGTCAAAAAATAATACACATAAAATATCAAATTTGAAGTTGGGAACTCTATTTCGAAAAGTACCCAAAATTATTTATAAATATTATTTTGTGGGTTTCTACCATGAAAACTCTTTTTCGAGAAGTCAACAAATAAAGAATTAGTTGGAAATTAGGAATCATAAGGTAATAAGGTAACTGTTTTTTGTGATGTAGAATATTTATGTGGTGAAGGAAAAAAAAGAACAGCGACAGTAACAAAAAACAATAGAAACAAACAACCAACCACAATGACACAAAAACATATAGACACACAAATACAAAACAATAAAATCAAAAAAAACTGGAGAATAATATTTTTGATACATAGGAGACGATTTCTCTGATGACTAGTATATGGTTATTGAATTTCATTGAATTGAATATAATAGATAGCGACTAAATAAAATGGGTAAGTATATTATTGTTTTATATATTAAAGATAATTTCTGGAAATATTGATAAAAAATTTCAAATTTGAAATATGAATTTAAACCAGCAGCTGACGTTAAGGGATATCAATTTATATATGGCAATTTACAATTTACTTCTTTATTAGTTCCTAATTTAAATGAATTTTTATTGGTCAATGAAATTAGATATTATTGGGGGTAAGAAGGTAATTTAACTTTCATATGAAATGCAAAGTGTAGTGACACGTGGCAGAAAAGGATTCATTTATTAGGATTATGATGTATAATGTTTATTATTTCAGATAAAGTTAAGCATTGGTGGAAAGGATACTGTTAGGGAGGATGATTTTGATGAATTGACTTCGAATACCATAGTTACAGATTATGATATATCAAAGCATATCATGTTTAGAAAATGAAGAAAACAGAGAATTTGACAGCCTCAGTGATTCAACTTAGGGATTGTTGGGAAGTATGAAACATAAGATTTTTATGCCATTATCCAATGGAGAAACGATTTCATTCTGGAAGTGCTTGCTTCTTGGCGACTGAGAAAATTATGTTTGAACATGATTTACATGGGTTTACAAAGGACGATATTACCCCTTGTGTTACAGTGAAGGAAATGACTGAGAGAATGTTGAATGTGATCCATGTAGCTATATCCCACCCGTTTTAGAGTTATGTTTAGAGTTATGTTGCTTGCTACTCGTGGGCATTTTGTTGGATGTGTCTTTGATGGAAACTCCATTGTTGCCCACAAAACATTCGACAGGTCTGTTCTTTATCTATCTTGTCACTTTAATATCACTTTAATTTCATCAAAAAAAATTATTTATGAGCTTAAAATTAATACATCCTTACCGATAACTAAAAATATACCTTGTTAGTATCATGATTGTAAATACAGGTCATGTAATTTAGTTGCATATAATATCCTTATGTGTATATGCTTGAAACGAATTAATCCTTGTCAACACCACCATCATTAAATAATTAGTATATTGCTAATAAGACTCTTTAAAAACATATTTGGTTCATTCTTTTACACCATAAATAGACGTACATATATGCCACACACCACCATCATTAAATAATTAGTATATTGCTAATAAGACTCATTAAAAACATATTTGTTTCATTCTTTTACACCATAAATAGACATACATATATGTCACACATATATTAAAAGAAGATTAATCTAATTGCAATGATAACCCTAAAAGCATAATCGTATAAAGATAGAGAATAGCAGTGAAAATAAAGCAAGAAGTATCAGTGTTTGAATAGTAGACACCACAAAGAGCAATACTGTGAAAGAGAAACCAAAAAAAACAAATTCAAGAACATTGTTGATTCAAAAAGGACAATTTGAAATTACTTTTCAATCTTTGGTATTAATAGACCTGTGTTGCCATCAACTTTGAATTCAATCAAGGGACCTTGGTGGACGAATTCACATTATCATACTCATCAACATCCATGGTATCTCCAACGTTTCGTTTTTTTACCATTGTTAGGGAATTGTACTTGAACAGACTTGTAGCTTCAAATTTTTCAGGCATTGAAGGGGTCAAAGTATCACCTATTTGTGAGATCGCATCCTTAAAACAAAATGTTGTAAGTAGATTTAGTACTAAAATATTAACAAAAAATACTTTTTAAAATAGGCTATATAAAAGTAAATAATGTAGATTTATAATATAACCTTTAAGGACTTCGTTTCGTGAGATGCTTCATGAGATGCAATTTCTGTATCATCAGCATTTGCAGGACTACCCGCTTGATTCAAAAATTTTAATATTTATATAATTTGTGGGACATAGCTCTCAATCGATAGAGATTTACAATTAATTAGTGAAGATCATTAAAGAAAAGTATGGATCATAAAAAAGTAATATTAAAAAAAGAAATAAAAATAATCTATGAATACCTCGACAGCTAACTTTTTTTCCAAAGCATCTATAACGTTACTATCAACCGTATAGCCAAGTATCCCAAACCGATTGTAGTTATTGGAAACATTAAAACTATTAACATTTATCTTAAAAACCATCTTTTTATGCTCCAGACATTTGAGGTCATAAGGATACTACCTTGGATTATCCCCAGCCTGGAATAAATGTGTTATATAATATAGTTATGGTTAAAAGCACATTAATATAAAGAAAATCAAAAAAAGTAACAGCAATTAATAAAACAAATATTGTAATTATATTATACATGTTTGATTTTCTCTATAAGATCACATGCACGTTTTTTGATGAGTCTATAAGCATCTCTATCAAAGAGAGTCAGAGTGATTGTTCCAGAATTATCTTGCACACGTATATGTATTTTATACCTATAAAACATTCCCACATAAATAAAATATTAAATATGTTTAATATTTAATAATGTAGTTAAGTCGTTCATGTAATATTTTCTTAAATGTAAAAAAACCTTGGAACAGAAGAGATCTTCTTATTTATACAATTATCACCATAGCATTTTACAATCACACTTGAATCACCACTATCTGGACCGCTGAACACATCTCTTGTTTCAACTTTCTTTCCACAGTTTGTACACGCATCATAATACCAATCAATATCTTGACGAATACCATAAATGGTCCCAACAATGTTATATTGGCCGCCCTAAAAAATAAAAAATATCAAAAGGATCTTAAAAACAATACAATTAGATTATTTGTCAAATAGAAAACAATATCACGTCAAGACAGCTAAAATATTCACATACCTCTTGTGGTTCTATCAAATCGGCAACATTTTTAACTTTGTAATTATTCAAAAAGTCATCAGACTCCGAATATGATTGAGAGCTATCAACAGTCAAAGAAGAAGAAGGTTTTTGAAGTCCTCATAATCCAACCAAGCTGTTTTTAATTTAGGAGATTAAAAATAAAATTAGTAAAATTATTAAAAAGAAACAAAAAAACGATGAATTATTAAAATAGTTTGTTACTTATCTGTGAAGGTAACAATTTTAGGAAGATTAGCATTTATGAACATCCGTGTTTGTTCAAAATAACTGTTAACAGAAGGTGTTCCTGATGAAACAAAATAAAATAGCCAAAAGAATGAGTAATATAAAAGACTAAAACATGGTTGCTTTGTATAAAAAACGTACTGTTATAGACATTAATTTTTGCAAACTGCAAAAGGACAATCACACGACCAACTTGTTTATGAGCTTCAAGATAAGAAATCAATTCGTATGCAATATCCCCAAACAATGTCATGTTAACGTGCAAACCTCTACAAAAATAACAATGGTTAAATGAATATATATATATATATATATATATAATATATATATATATATATATATATATATATATATATATATATATATATATATAATACTAAAATAACACATGCAAGTTGTAAACTAATGAATGTTATATAAGATATAATATAAGAAAAGTTTTGGTTACTCTAAGTTTCTGATTTGTAAAGGTAGCCTATGTAGAGATTTGCTGACATCACGCGAATCAAGCTTTCCTAATGAAACAACTTCACCAATAATATCTACAAAATCATAATACAATATGTCAAAATGATGTAAAATTAAAGAATTAAATATAATATACAATCTAGATGTAATGACCGCAAAATTTCAACAAAATTTTAACTTCTTGAAAACAACCCATTTTCATAATGTTACTACAAAAAGGTTTTCAATACAATTATTCTCAGAGTTTTCCCAGAACCAGATCATAAAACATAATCATGAGGAGCGGTACGATCACGCCTTTGCCTTGCCACGGTCTCCTGAAGAACCTGAAAAACATAAAACCACAACTGTAAGCCCGAAAGCTTAGTGAGATACCCCCAAAATACCAACCACATATACCATACACGCACAACATGCTATATCATATCAGAACACAGAACAACCATGCACTTTGGGTCTATTGTGTGACTGGTTCGCCGCACTGGCCAACAGTCCACCTCATCCACCCTCCGAGTCTAGCCAAATACATCGAGTCTGCAGTGTGATTAGTCCGCCCGCACCGGGTCTTCAATCCACCTGGTCCACTCTCTGAGTCTACAGTATGACTGATCCGCCCACACCGGGCCTTCAGTAGGCCTGGTCCACTCTCCGAGCCGCAGCACGTCTGGTCCGCCCTCTTGGGGCCTTCAGCCTATCCGGACTGCTCGCTGGGCCTTCGGGACAACCGGTCCGCCCTGGGTATGTTGGCCTACAGCACAAAGCAGGACCCGCCTCAACCCAACCCCAATCATACAACCATGCGCACATAAACATTCAATCATATAACAATTCACATTCAATCAAGCTGATCTAACAGATCACACAACATAACCTTTTCCTAACCAGGATACCGACCTAACCTGCCTCTAACATAATACCACCCTAACTACCAGGATGCAAATATAGCAAAGCAATAACATAACAACGATACCCGAATCGCAATCTAATAAAGGGCCGGCCTTGGTGCCTTAGACCCTGTTGATATAGTGAAGATAACTCACCTTGCCACTACCGAAACTCTGAACTGAAGAAGCAGATTCCCTAATCACCGACTCATCGAAAATCCCGAAGTAGCCAACATAGCAAACATAATCATTAGGTCAAACACAATACCCTTCCAAGGGTAAATTGACCAATTTACCCTTACCTCAATCCGTCCCACAACTAAGGCCCAAAATCAAAATATGAAAGGCCCAACACTGGATAAGCTCTCAAGCCCACTAATGGCCCAAAGACCAAAAGTCCGAAGCAAAGCCCAATATTGGCCCACTTTACTAAATTGGGCCCACCTCACCAAATGGGTCTAGATCCAAGGTCCATAATAATTAGTGAGTCCAAAATACTCCATCCACAATGTCCAGACACGCGCCAAAATCCAATAGCCCAATAACAGCCCAAACTCCTTAGGCCCAAAATGAAAACCCAACAGAGGGAGTACGCTGGGCGTACCCTCCTTGGTACGTTGGGCGTAGAACGCTGATTCGCAATTGGCAATCGGGGCGCTGACCCGCTACGCAGGGCGTAACCTCGCTAGTCAATAAGTCCACATAACTTCTTAATGGCTTAAGCTCTTAAGCCCAAACTTCAGATCCTTAGGCCAAATATGCCTAGGATTCATAAAGTCTCAAACTTTATTACTTGGGACGTCCATAAAGCTCTTAATCCAAGGTCTTAATCCATTAAGACCTACTCATCTCACACATGGAACAACCACAACCCTTGGGACCTCATTTTTCTCACTCAAGATCTCTCCTAAGGTCTGAAAGGACAGATAATCTCGACCAACTCGAAACATGCATCAAGATGAGGACTTTTGGGACAAGAATGGTGTGAATACCTCACAACACATAGATCTATTCAATATAAATGTCAAGCAAGAAGCCTTATACCTCAGATAGGCTCCAAAGGATGATGTCTTTCCAGATCTATAAGCTCCAGCCACTCAACTCCTTCTTTGACAACTTCCCCTTTCTTCTTCTAGCCTCTCTTTTGCCAAAACAAGCTTTCCAAGGCCAAACTCACCCAACAATGGAGGTAAGACAGATATCTAGGGTTTCTGAGGGTAAGAGAGAGTCTATGGAGGCTGAGGAGGAAACCTTTATGTTCCTTATATAGTGGTTGCCCTTAAAATTAGGGTTTTGGGATTCTAAGAGTACGCTGGGCGCACCTCTAGTACGTTGGGTGTACTCGACCTTGCACTCGGGTCCATTTACTCATTACGATGGGCGTAACCCAACCTATGCTGGGCATACCCACGTGTGACTCATGCATGCATGACTCACATTGACAACCTTTTCCATTAAGCACCATAAATGCCAAAATCTTCAAAGTGTCATAACTCCCTAATTCTAGCTTCATTTTCAATGAACTTTATATCCACGAAGAGGTGGCGAGAAGCCCTACGCTTCTTGATACATACCCTGGTTCGAAACCTTCTCGGATGAAACCTATTTCCCATAAAAGGACCAAAATACCCTTCCTCTTAAATCCCGGGGACTCATAAATAAGTATTTTAAGAACGGGGCATTACAATTCTCCCCCACTTAAATTAGGCTTCGCCCTCGAAGCCTGCGGCAACTCGAATCCAGAACTACCCCCGCAATGCACCACCTGGCATTCACCAGACTAGGTTCCTCAAGACACAACCATCGAAACCCGAAACCCAACTTTTTCTTTCTTGCGGTGTTCTGACCACCACTTCAAGCCAGCCACCAGCCTCATCCTCTGATAACCACACTTATTAACTGAGTACCGCCCCATGATACATCACTCGCTCCAAAACACAACAATCGCTCAACTCATACGAGCTAGACAAAATCCATGCTGACAGGATGACACCTTCTTCAGCCTCAGAGCAACTCCCATGAGTTCTCAACCGCAATCTCATACCCACGCTGAACTGGCTCTAGCATCTTCAGGTTGGGAAAACCCGATACACTGACAAATCCCCCAAACATCCCCCACGATGAATTTCCGCCACCTAAATCAAAATCTGTGACATCCCCAATTTCACGGCCAGAAAAGACCGATTTGTTTATGCCACTTTTTTTTTATAAATCAGAGTGATCGTTTAAAGAAAACAGTTGCGGAATTTGTCCTCAAAATAAAATATGATAACCATTTATCAAAACATTTCTCGAAAAGAATGTATTTTCATTAAATAATAAAAACTCGGGATGTCATGTTCGTTACAGACCAAAAGCATAAACAATATAAAATAGACCTTACAATAGTTATTTAATTACTGATCTATAATCCAAAATCTCTCGTCAAGTCCACCAACTTATACCCTTGTGCCATTACCTGTAATGAAAAGAAAACTGAGTGGGTTAGGCTTGGGAGCCTAGTGAGCATATAGGGTTTTCAATCCACAATAATATAATTATTATATGTAATCAGCAAACAATCAACCCAATTACCCATCCCCATTATCTTCTTAAGGTTTTACCCTAAGAACCAACTATCCTTCATTCATTTATTCGTAAGGAATTTGGCACGAATTCCATTGCTGCCAAAGCTTATTTATCAAGTACTAAATCCATAGTTATCTGGCGCTAACTCCATAGTCACCAAAGTTCACTTAACAAGCGCTAACTCCATAGTCGCCAAGGCTTACTCAACAAGCGCTAACTCCATAGTCGCCAAAGTTTACTCAACGTGCGCTAACTCCATAGTCGCCAAGGTTCATTAAATAGGCACGAAATCACATTGTCGCCAAGGTTTATACAATAGGCGCTAACTCCATAGTCACCAACTATTCCATCTACCTATGTTCTACCCAACAATTTTGTAGATATAAATACTTACACAGTTTAAATCATTTAACACCTGTATAAAACTCCAATTTCCATGCCCATCTCAAATAGACAAATAACATATAAACACATAGCACGTATTTCATAGTAAATACGTCATATTTATGTGTTAGAAGAAAGTAACTACACACTCACACATATAAACAACAATAAACTTAATACACTCAAACCATACTTGTATTATTATCGTGTTTATGAAAGGTAGTATACACTCACTTGATCAGAAGATGATCGGACAGCACTACGACTTGCAGAAGTAGTATTCTTCGGTAGACCTAGAAGATTTCCACAAAAATCGAACTTCTCGCGGGCAGAGCTTCGGCTCGGGAACCGCACTTCTCGGGACTTGCTTCGGGGCTCGAGAATAATACCGGGGCTTTGGGATATTTCTGGCACGCAATTCGATGTAAAACGGGAGAGAGAATAGAGAAAATGAACAAAAGAACCGGCTGCCCTCGCATCCTATTTATAGGAGGCTGGAGCCTCGGAGTACGCGGGGCGTACGCGTCCGAATTCGTCACTGCATGCGTCATTTCGAAGAACTCGAGTGCGAAGGTCGTCATGCTTCGCTGTACGCGGGGCGTACTTCGGATGAGTCCGATGACTCGCCTTCGGATAATACCGGGATTTAATAATTAAATTTAATTATTAAATAATTAATAAACTTCGAAAATTCATATCTTCTTCATACGAACTCCGTTTTCGACGTTCTTTATATCCACGCGTAGGTGAGACTACGCTCTTCGACTTTCATTTAGACTCCGTTGGCTAATTTTGAATTTTATTTTTATTATTTATTTTTAATAGGTCGGGACAGAAAATTTCGTTATAAATTCATAACTTCTTCGTCCGACGTCCGTTTTTGCCTAACTTTTCGTTGTTTCGCTACTAACAACGAGATCTTCGATTCTCGTTTAGATCGCTAAGGCTA